GGGTAGTTTGTGGTGGAGGGCCTGTCCAGGATGAGTGCAGGCGGGCTGCGTCTTGTGGTGGGGTACGTGGTGAAGGAGTGGGTGACCGGCTGGAAAGCCCGGGTGGTAGTGGAAAACCTGGCGGTATGTTGTGGATAATAGCCAGGTTTCTGCTGGAGAGTGTGGCTGTGGGGTTGATGCGGTATTGTCCTGGGAGCCTGGGGCCGGTGGTGACAAATTGAAGGAGTCGTCGAGCCTGGGAGAGGTCATCGATCAGGCGGTCTAGCAAGATCAGGTCGCCGCGCAGTCGGTAGAGGAGGTTGTATGCTCTCTGGTCTTGAAAGTGAGTCCGGCTTGGCATAGGTTCAGTGTGGAATGGGTGACGGCGGAGATGTTGGTTGACCATAGATAGGAGGTCCAAAGAGCCGTTGAGGGATTGAAAATCGGGTTGGGTACAAATCGAAGGTTGGAGCCAGCTCGGAGGGCAATGTGGGAGGTAGTGTTCTGTATCGTCAGAGTTGCTATGAGGGCGAGCGCGAGGATTGGCCATGACAAGTGATGGATTGTGATGGCGTACAAAAGGCTGCGGAGCTGAGGTGAGCCTGAAAACTGTAAAATCAAAGGTGGGCAACTGGGTGAACATAAATTGGGTGTGAATAAACAAAATTCAGTGCATGTCAGCGGATTTGTCGTGCGGCACGCCGTAAGGAAAGTGGGTGAAACGGATCAAATGAAATAGCTGCCAACTGGCGTGAGTGGAGATTTCTCCGGATGACTGTCTTCACTAAGCGGTCGCTCAGCAGCCGGCGGCAGCGGCGCAGCAGCTGGAGTCGTTGGGTATTGTGAAGTCGGTGGTGTTGTGGTGGGGGAAGGGGAGAAGTCCGGTTGTGAATGTGGTGCTGGGGAAACTGCTGGTGATGTAGGTGTTGGTGAGGGGGAAGGCGCTTGCCGTGGTGGTGCAGGTGGTAGTGGTGTGGAGAAAAGTTGCTGGTCTTGCTGTCGTTGCATGTCTTTGAGTTCTTGCCATCGGGCTTGGCATTGCGCAACGGAGAAACCCACTCGGCGGGCCACAGTAGTCCAGTTGGGACGAAGTTTTGGGTTTTCTTTGAGTTCGATCAGGCGACAATCAGCGTCGCCGTCCCAAGCGTCCCAATCGGCGTGTTGGTTCAGTGGTGGTGGGGGTGGTTGCTTCCGCTTGCGTGTTGTGGTGGGTTGTGGAACAGGGGGTGTTGTTGGAGTGTCGTCTGAATCCTGTAAGGGTGGTGCTGGTGAACGGATGGGTGGTCTGGATGGTGCTGAGTCACAGGATGAGGTGGTGGATGGTAAACGTATGGGGTGATTGGGTGGAGTTGGAAGTGGCTGAAAGTGTTGGCGGAAAGTGGGGTCTGCTTGGTGGCTGTGGTGGAGGAAAACCGTGTGGAGGTGTGCTACAATATCTGTTGCTTGTCGAAGCAGGTTGTGCACCTGGGAAAGTGCCACTGCGGTTTTGTGTATGAGAGTTGCGGCGTCGTTTTGTAGAGGTGTCAGCTTGCTGCTCATGGGGCTGAGATGTAGGGGTGTGCAGTAGTCAAGAATCGTCACAGGTTGCTGCGGCAGCGCGCCAAAGCAGCCGGAAAGCGGCGAGTCTGAGGAAGCACATCATTCCGAGGCCGTGCATATGAATTAAGCGAGCATCAAATTCCCACAGGCAAAAGGGTGAGTACGCAATGCAGATTGGACAATCGAGTACATGGCTTAAAGAATCACTCTCCACGATGCAGAAACTGACATGTGAAAGACTCCTGCAAAACAGCCAATACAATTCAAAAGATTCTCAGCAAATACTGCAGAGCTAGAAAAATGAAGGGTTCAAAATGCCCGTGGCTGCTGCAAGAGGATCTTTTTTGCTGCTACAGCAAAGGTTGGGTGGTGGTGTGAGACCAAAAGTGGATGTGGAGGTGGTAGTGATGTGTGGATGTGTGGCAGTGGCGTTATGGGTCCGGTGGGGTGGAGTTGGTGGACCAGGCCAGTCCTTTGACAATGGCGTGGTCCGGGTGGATCACCCAGCAGCGGCCCTTCTGATGAAAGACCGCACCATGGTGGTCGTTAAGGAGGTTCATGGCGTGTTCCTCACCTCCAGAGGTATACTTTGTGGCGGCACCCCAAGCAAGGAGTGTGATGATAAGGGAATGGGAGTTCTTGTGGAGTTGCCAGGTGTTGTGGATGATGCGGGCAAGTTCGTTGTGGTCATGGGGTTGGTTGTGGGTGATGCGAACGCCCTGGGCAAAAAATCCAGGGTAGTTGGCAAAGTGGAGTGTGCTGGGTAGAAAACGGCCTTGGCGTAGAATGTTGGAAATGTTGCCGACGGGGCCTGTGTGGCCTGCGTTGATGTGGGCAACTTCTCGGTGGGTTGATGTGGCGCGGGAAACCGCAGGTGGCTCGGGTGTAGTGGCTTTGGTGTTGAGGAAGGGAAGTGAAATGGCATAGTACTGGAATTGGTCGTATTGGTGAGTTGTGTCGTTCCACTTAGCGTGGGTGTATTGGCGGAAATCGTTGATCTCCTTGTAGGAGATGTTGCAGTCTGTGAGGATATTGGCAATGTACTGGTGTTGTGGTCTGTTGGGATTGTCGAGTTGGGTGGCGTGGAATTCGAGCCATTCCAGGATTTGGTCTGCGGGTGTGAGGGTGTGAAAGTTGGGTGGAGGTCGCCAACGGTTGAGTGGGCGACGGATGACGGCTGTGTTGGGATATTGAGAGGGATCAGGGTTCGCGTGTTCGGTGTTTGGGCGTAGATCAATGGGTTGTGGTGGGGACCGACTGCGGGATGGTGTGAGGCTAGATGTGTAGGTGGATGTGGAAGGCGAACGCCGTCGCCTGGTTTTGCTGTGGTGTTTGGAATGGTGGTGATGGCGATGTCGGCGGCGGTGGCGGTGGCGTCCTCTGTGGTGATGGTCGGACTTGCGTCGGCTCTTGTGATGGTGGCGGCGACTGCTGTGTGGTGGTTGTGGGGAAGGTGGTTGTGGTGCTGGCGAGGCAGTGGTGTCAGGTTTGTCTGGTGCTGGTATTGAAGGTCCCGGTGCTGGTGTGGCAGAGACCAGCGAGGGGGATGCTGAATGTTGGGATACGGTGGCCGGTGTGTTTTGGACTGGTAGTGGATTGTCCTGGGCAGTCGTGGGGATGGGTTGGATCGGTGGTGTTGGATCCGATGGTAGCTGCTGTTGAAATGGAGGTTGGGTTGGCGTTGAGGCAGTGGTAATTTGTGGAGGCGGTGGCGGGGGCCCCGGTTGGAGTGGAGGTTGTGTGACGGGGGGAAAGGCTGAATAGGGTTGCCAAACGCCCTGGGGGATGGCACATTGGGGATCTGTGGATGGATAATTGGCAATCGCAGTCTGTTGCTGTGTTGGAGGGGGATGTGTCAGTGTAGTGGGGGGAGGAAGTTCAGCTGGTGGTGTGGGATGATGTGGTGGCAGCAGGTAGGACGGGGGAGGTGCTGCTGTCGGAAACACTGGAGCTGGATGTGTGGGTTGCGGTGGCACGTGACATGGGGGGACAAAAGTCCAAGTGGATGGTGTGCCGTAGGTCAGTGCGGTGGCAGTAGGGGCGGATAAAACCGGTTGTGGTTGAAATGGTTGTGGTTGGAGGTGAGGGTATGCCGGTGGTTGTGTCGAGGGATAGGTGGGTGCAGTTGATGGCTGTGGCATCGGCCATGTGGGTTGAGGTTGTGTGGTAGGTAGTGGTGGTGGCGTGGTGTGAGCATAGGGCCACGGAAAATGCATGTCGTGGTCGTAGCTATGGCTCGGCGCGGCGCGGCAGCAAAAGGCAGCGAAGAAATGCCGAGTGGTATGTCTTGTTGTTGTTGAAGGTGTCAGCGCTGGTGTCGGTGGTGAGGATGTTGTAAGGTGGTGCTAAGCGTTAGCTTGTTGGTAAGTGTGTGTTCATGCATCTCGAATTAAGCTGAAGAGTTGCAATGCCCTTCCTTGAGTGCTGTCGATGAGAGAGTCGCGGCAGCAACATAACGAACACATAAACACGCACATGATTGGAAGCCATGAAAAGAAAACTGAATGCCGAAATCGGAAATCAGAAGTTCTGAATCTGAGGGATTTGTCAAAAACCGTTTTTTGGCCCGGCGGCCGGTGTGGCAGTTGATTCAAAGAGGGGGTCGGTGCTTTCCTGTGATGTTCCAGTGATCGGTGGAGCGTTGGGGTGGTTGCTTTCCCATGCAAAAACAGCGCCCCTGTGAAGGGGATCACACTCAGCACCCGAGTGGGACGGCTGAGCAGGACACACTTCGAACTTGGATTTTCAGTTAATGCAAGTATCACGTTGGGAAGAAAGGCGAGGAACCGCAGGGCGCAAAGGTCAGTGAAAACAGTATGGTTTAACTTTGTTTGCAGTGGCACTCTAAAAGACGATCGGACACTCAGCGCGGCTGCAAGTCAGCTGTAAGGCTGCAGTGGGCTTGGGGGTGGTAACATGAAGGACCATGAAAACAACGAACAGCGGCAGGGTGGACCAGTGGAGTCAGTGTGTTGAAAGCAGGTACGCCAGACGGATCAGGTCTGGTTTCACTGCCAATTGCAAGCGTCTTCGTTGGCAGGAGACTTGCAATGGCACTCCTGCCCCCTGCTTGTGGAGAAATGGTGGTGGAAAACTCTTTGTCCAGGGTGGGACACACACACACACCCACACGCACACGCACACGCACACTCACGCGTACACGTACACGCACACGGATAGGCCCCCCAATGGGGGGCCGATTGAAAGCACATGTGCGCGCGTAAAGAGACAACGATTGAAGACACATGACAAGATGCGCAATGCAGGTGGAGGTGATCAAGAGGAAGCCAATGACCAGGGACAATCAATGAGCCAAACCTCATTAAAACAAGACCTAGAAGCTTTCCAGGGCTGTGTGCATTCAGACCATGCATACTTTTTCCGGAGTGTGCGTGTGGGTCTGCGAGTGTTGAAATTGAACGTGTTGGAAGCGCCCATGGTAGCGCCCATGGAAGCTGCAGTTTCTGTTGCCCAACGCGTAGGACTTGCGCTTCGGAGCCGGGTCCCGGATCCCAGCCACACTGTGGGAAGAATTGCGGGCAGGGATTTGGCCGCAACTATCTCGTTGCACTGGCGTCCCTCAAGAGGAACAGGCACGCCTCAGGGGCAAGGCCGATGACGAAGGCGGGGGCCAGTCTCACTGATAGCCATTGTCATTCAGATTGTGCTTTCCTACGAACTGGCGGCGTTGAACTTTGCTGGCCCGAAAATTAGCCCATTTGGGCAACTCAACTACGCAGCAATTGGGAACACTTCTTTTGACAAGAGACCTTGACAAAACAAATCAAAACTATGTCACGATGTTTGGCAACATTTTTGCTGAGGGTTCTAACTTGAACGAATGTGTTGCTTATGCCTTTGCTTGTCCTGTTTGTTTTTTCCCTTTGTTTGTCACTGTTGCTTTTGGTTTTGCTTTGACTTGTAGCGAGCAGTCTCGCTGGATTCTGGTTGCCTTTTGATGGCTTCTGGTGGGTTGGAAGGTGCGTTCGGTGTTTTTTTCCATTGATCTGCCTTTCACGGCATTGGAGCTGCTGCGCTCACGGCACTGCTGTGAGTAGCCCAATTTCCTAGCTAGAGAGGAAACGGGGAGGGAGAGGGAAAGGAACGAAGGAAGGCAGGAAGGCGGGAAGGCAGGGATGAAGGCAGGGATGAAGGCAGGGAAGGGAAGGGCAGGGAAGGGTAGGGAAGGGCAGGGAAGGGTAGGGAAGGGCAGGGACCAAGGGAAAGGGAAAGGGAAGGAATGAAGGGAGAAAAGGAGCAAACAAAAAGAACACGTCGTCATCCCGTCACACCTTTTCCACGAGCATACATTTACGGGTCAGGCAACGAAGCGAAGCAGATGAACCCCAGGCCAATCCCAAACCCAACGAAGCGCGCAACCTGAAACCCAAGGAGTGAAAGGGAAAGGAGTAAAAGAACACCAAAGCCCATCAAAAGAACACCAAAGGAGGGAAGCTCGAAACCAACCACGAAAGTTCTCTAAAGAAAGGGGCCCCTAAGCCAAACCCAAAGAACCAAACCAAGCCCCAAAAGACGTAAAACATGACAACCGGCAAAGAAACCCTAAAAACGTGAGGCCCTAAGCCAAACCCAAAGAACTCCAAAGACGGGACGCCCAACACCAAGCCCGAGAGACACCAAGAAGTGAAACTGTAAGCCAAGATCCCTAAAGGAGGGAAACCTGAAGGCAAACCCCCAAAAACATAAGCGAAAGCCTTTGCCAAACCCAAAGACTCCCTAAAGAGCAGAAAGGGATGCTGTGGAGGCTTTCTAGGTATTTTTGGCACTCACATTTGTTTGACAATGTATGTGAGCATGTTATTTCACATCTATGTCAAAAGTGTTTGTTTAGATTGTTCGTGACAAATGATTGGTGCCTTGATAGTCTCCAGTCTTGCAAGCCAAGTTGGGGAGGGGGAGCGCTCAATGTAGGGGATCCCGCAGGTGAAGAGCTCACCAAAGTATTGTAGAATTAAAGTTGCGCATCATATGCAACAACTTTTGCTGCTAGGATCAAACGTCTATCTGATATATCTCAGACACGTGGTGCCAACATGTATGGGGCAAGATGCCGTTTCTGAGATACAATGTTTTTTCGAGTGAAGTCGTTTATGGTTCGGTTCTTGGTGTTGGGTTTTGTTAACTTGTTGAGGAAGACACGAGCCTGAAGCCAATCGCCCGCTGACCGCTGTACAGTTTCATAAATGTTGTTGCTCGGGTAGGGCCCCCCCTGCAGACTAACTGACTCTGCACATTAGTTTCATTAGTTCACCACTAGCAACAGCTTGGGTTTCGATTGCTTGGGTGTAGTCGCTGCTATGTTTTGGTGGTGGCCTCTCGGTGATATATTGCAGTCTTTCACGAACATAATGTGCCACATGTTGGTACGTAAGTGACAGTTGCTTATTGACTGTAGAGGTGTTGAAGAGTCTTGGGCGCGTGCCCAAGCGTGGATTTGGTCTCATGACCGTCGGGGGGGAGAAGCATCCAATCATTTGTACGCCTTGAGGTGACCACTTGCCTGACCGAGCGAAGGATCCAGAGGGGTCCTGCAATCCCAAGCGGACCCCCGGCGGATCACTGCGTGCGGACGAACTCAATGTCAACGACCAAGACGGCGTTCCGAAAGGCCTGGAGAGTCGGTGGCGGTCGAACTGCCCCGGATTGAACGGACAGATATCAAGGGAACTTGGCAGATACCACGTGTCGAACCATTGAAGACCCTACAGGAATGCCTCGATCGGATTGCTTCTTTTTTGGGGGGGGTCGTGCTGCTGATGGTGATCCAGTGGTCAAGTCGTGCGCTCCTACCGGTGATGATGTATACAATAAAGGGGTTCTTAGCAACGATGATGTGGTACGCCCAGGGTTGGTGAAGTGGCAGTTTTCAATGCGTCATTGTCTCACTGATGGTTTGAAAGTGAAAGAGGCCGGAGTGCGTGAACCGTCGCATCCAAAACTCTCGGGGATGAGGCGCCTCAACCAAGCCTGTTCGACTGGCCTGTGGCAGGAAAACAACATCATCATCATCATCATCAACATCATCATCATCATCATCATCATCATCATCATCATCATCATCATCAGTAACAACACATCATCATGGAAGAACCCCTCGCGCACCTTCACAAAACAAGCGCTAGAAAAACATCCGCTCACCAGCCCTGATTCAGACCTTGCAGGTGGATGATCCGGCCCGGCGATCCTCAACGCGTTTGTTGGGGTGAAGTATCCAAAAATACCCTAAAGAAGTGAAAGCCAGTGTGAGCTTTACTTTAGCCCGCTTCAAGGACACATTGGGTTTGGTTCGTGACACTTTGGCAGGCGGAAGTGGGAGGTTTCACCTCCCAAAGCATCTTACAGCAGCTGTGATGCCACACCGATTCGACGAGGCAGAGGATTGTGCAAAAGAGGAGCTCCAGGCACTGGCCAGTTGCAAGGACTTGGAGGACGAAGCGGGCCCTGAAAGCCCCCCATGGGTTGAGCGTGCCCTGAAAGTTTCACAGGTTGCAGTTCAACTTGATGTGACAGATCCTGATCAGGATCCGCAGCCTCACCCGCCGAGCCGATATGGCAGGACCTGAACTTGAGTTCTTGCTCTGCGATCCCTACCAGCGCCTGGGAGAAGCTGCGGGTGGCGCGATGGGCGAAGCTGCAAAGGGCCAACTTCGAATCGTGCCTGGGTATCGGGCGCCATCAGCGGTGGCAGGGTGTGGAAAGTTATGAAATTCAAGATAAGCCATGGGCCATGAAAGTAAATACCTACAGATAGGCATCCCCAAACAAACCTCGGTTGTTTGTTGACTTGGTCTTGCCCAATGAGAGAGTGTTGTCGCTTGCTGACAGGTGCTTCGATGCCGAGAGCAAGGGCGTAGGAGGTGCAACAACACTGTTGCGCGTGTTGGCCGGGTGTGCTGAATTGAAGGACGGTTCAGTTCAGATTGATTGGTGGACCTTTTTTGGCACAGCGAACTTTTGGACGGAATCTTTTAGTGTTGTTCTCAAGAAGCTTTGCCGTGAAGGGTTCTCAATTCTTGCATAGAAAGGATCCTGGGCTAAGATGATTTCTGGCCTTTTGCATCTCTTGGTCGCGGCTCTCCTGAATGCTGGGCTGAGATGATCCTGCGGTGGTCCCCTTTGTCTCCCATTCCTCATTTGTTGGATGTTCAATCCAAATCCGCTATCCTTTTCGTTCCTGGCCTGGTCATGAACGAAGCTGGCAGGAACTAAACCTGTTCTTTTGCAGTGCGATCCCCGCCGCAGCGTGGAAGAAGCTGAAAGTGGCGCGATGGCCGAAATTGGAAAAGGCCAACTTCGCCGGGTGCCTTGGATGCTGCACTGGTGTGAGGGTGAGGAAGGGATGCCACCGAGCCATCTGGGACATGTGGCATGTTTCGTGTGATTTGTTGGTTCGATGCAGAAGCAGTTGAAGGGCACCTTGACCTTGGGTTGGATGTGCTTGCAGTGGGACATGCGCAGATTTGCGGTGGAAACAAGCCGGATTGATGGCAGTGATGCGTGTGATGGTTTTGATTAGAGGACTAACTTGTTTTGTATTTGAAGGTCACGCAAGGTCGTTCTGTGTTCCGGTTCTTTCAACCTCTCTCGCTTGTTTTCTTTCCCAAATCCCCTCGAGCTGAAGTTGACCCGACGCATAAATGTCCTGCCAGACGAGGTGTTTCAATTCTGACAGCGAAGCAGCAGAGGTTGCGGACATATTGCTTTGCGTGTTGGCCAAGTGTGCCGAACTGAAGGACAGTTCATTCATTTTCTTTTTCCCCAGATAGCGAAGCTATGGTTGCTGGTGCTGGTGCTGGGTGCCGGGTGCCGGTGCTGGTGCTGGTGCTGGTGGTGGTGATGGGTGCCGGGCGCCGGTGCTGGTGCTGTGAGCTAGCTGTGCACGTGGTGGAGACAGGTTGCTGGTGGTGGTGCCGGTGCTGGTGCTGGGTTCTGGTGCCGGTGCCAGTGCTGGTGCCGTGAGCTGGCTGTGCATGTGGTGGAGACAGGTTGCTGGTGCTGGTGCCGGGTGCCGGTGGTGGTACTGGGTTCTGGTGCCGGTGCCAGTGCCGGTGCTGAGCGGTGGCTGTGCATGTGGTGGAGAGAGGTTGCTGGTGCCGGGTGCCGGTGCTGGTGCCGGGCGCCGGCTGCCGGCGCTGGTGCTGTGAGCTGGCTGTGCACGTGGTGGAGACAGGTTGCTGGTGCTGGTCCGGGTGCCGGTGCTGGGCGCTGGCTGTGTGGTGGAGACAGGGTGCCGGCGCCGGTGGTGGTTGCCGGCGCTGGTGCTGTGAGCTGGCTGTGCACGTGGTGGAGACAGGGTGCTGGTGTGGTGCTGGGTGCTGGCTCTGCGCGTGGTGGAGGCCTCCCCAGATAGCGAAGCTATGGGGCTCTTACTTCAAGTTGCCGGCGCTGGTGCTGGTGCTGTGAGCTGGGTGTGTACGTGGTGGGGGCAGGTTGCCGGGGCTTGGCAGTGCTGGGTGCTGGGTGCCCGTGCTGGCGCTGGTGCTGTGAACCGGCTGCGCGCGTATAGTGGAGACATGGTGCTGGGTGCCAGGCGCCGGTGCTGATGCTGGTGCTGTGAGCTGGCTGTGCGCGCGGTGGAGACAGGGGGTGCCGGTGCTGGGCGCTGGCTGTCCCCGTGTTGGAGCAAGGTGCTCCGTGCCTGTGGGGGCCAGTGCTGTGAGCTGGCTGTGCACGTGGTGAAGAGGGTGCCGGTGTCGGTGCTGGGTGCTGGCTGTGCGCGTGGTGGAGACCCGGTCGGTGGTGGGTGCTGGTGCTGGGTGCCGTGAGCTGGCGTGCCGGTGCTTGGTGCTGGTGCCCGCTTCTGACAGTGAAGTGATAACAACCGCCGCTTTGACAGTGAAGGGTGGCAAACCGCCGCTTGTAGCAGTGAAGGGCGACCAACCGCCGCTTCTGACAATGAAGTGCCAGCAGTCATGGGCCGCATGAACTTATGCACGCAACATCATACGGTGTTGTCGCTTGAGCGTTCTTTGTCTATTAGCGCTTTGGGGTATTTACACTCTTCAAGTTCCGTTTTGGCCCACAGCAGTGTCAAGGGCTGTACTGTTTGCGCGCATACTTTTGTACGTACAATGTATGCGCAACGTCAGGCTCTCAACCGACCATTGTTTCAGCATGTTTCAGCGTGCTACACACACAATAGTCGTGCTGGATACTGGTTGGCCTTGGGCGAGTGAAGCCTACGGGCTTTGCCGTTTGTGCGTACATTTTTGTGCGCATAAACTTTTACGCGCAAGATCAGGATCATACGGCCTTATCGTTCTACAGATCGTTGCTTCAAGCATGCTACAAAGTCAATAATGGCGCTGGATACTGCTTGGCCTTGGCCAATGACACTTACGGGCTTTGCTGTTTGCGCGCATACTTGTGTGCGCATCAACTTGCACGCGCAAGATCATACGTTTTTATTCCTCCAATAATAGCAATACTGGGCCCAGAATAGCTATGGGGTTCTTGCTGCAAATAAGAATGAGCTGGCTGCGCGCGCTTTCGAAACGGTGTCGGTGCTGGTGCTGGTGTTGTGGTCCTGGCTGCTGGTGCTGTGAGCTGGCTGAGCGCGTTCAAGACGGGCGGCGGCGCTGGTCGGGTGCTGGCGCCGCTGCCGGTGTTGTCAGCTGGTGTCAGCTGGTTGTGCGCGCTGTGGAGGTGCCGTAAGCTGGCTGCGCAGGCTGCATACATTCTTGTTCCAGCCAGTCGCATGTCAACAGGTCGTGGGATTCTGCCTAGCTATCTGGGTCTATGCTGGTGTAATGTTCATCTTTCTCCAGATAGCTGCAGGCTTTAGGGATTTCAACTTCTCAATGGTGTGGCTCTGGATCGGCGTTTTGGTTTTGTGGGCGCTGCTGCCATGACGATGCTGGTGCAGGTGCAGGTGCCGGCTCTGGATCGGCGTTTTGGTTTTGCAGGTGCTGATGCTGGTGCAGGTGATGCTGGCGCAGGTACACCTGGATCGGCGTCGGCATTTTGGTTTGCGCGTGCTGCTGCCATGCTGGTGCAGGTGCAGGTGCTGGCTCTGGATCCTGGGCTGGTGCAGGCGCTGGCTCTGGATCGGCGTTTCGTTTTGCGGGTGCAGCCATGCTGTTGCTGGTGCTTTCGTTTTGTGGGCGCTGCTGCCGCGCTGGTGCTGGCTCAGGATCGGTGTTTTGTCTTGCGGGTGCTGCTGGTGCTGTTGCTGGCGCTGGATCGGCGTTTTGTTTGGCCGGTGCTGGTGCCATGCTGGTGCAGGCGCTGGCTCTGGATCAGCGTTTCGTTCTGCGTGATGCCAGGGATGACATCGCGTCGTGCCAGGGATGGCATCCAGAATGGCATCATGTCATGCCAGGGGTGACGTCACATCATTATGCCAGGGTTGACATCATGTCATGATGACGTAATGTCACGCCGGGGTGACATCATGTCATGCCCAGAATGACATCATGTCATGCCCATGGATGACGCGATGTCATGCCAGGAATGAGGGAATACATCATGTCCTGCCCAGAAAGACATCAAGCCAAAACATCGTGTCATGCCAGCGATGACACGATGTGATGCCAGGCGTGACTTCATGTCTTCCCAGCAATGACATCATGTCCTGCCAGGGGCGACATAATGTCCTGCCAGGGGTGACATCACGTCATGGCCCGATAGACATCATGTTCTCATGTCACGCCCAGAATGACAGCGTGTCGCGTTCATGACAGCGTGTCACGTTATGGCACTGATGACACCATGTCATGCCAGGGGTGACATCATGAATGCCATCATGTCACGCCAGAGATGACATCATGTCGTGCCAGGGGTGACGTGCTGTCATATTGTGCGTGACACCGTGTTGTGCAGCAATGATCATCATGTCGTGTAGGCAGCTTTGGCTGGTCCTTGCCGATCTTGCAGTTTTACGTCTGTGTGGCGCAAAGCGGGCGCGTTCAGCTGATAGTTGTTGTGCGTATTGGTGGACTGGTCTAATGTTGGTGCTGCGGTGACAGTCGTCCGTGGTGTGTCCTTTAAACCTATACGCCCGCTATCTGGGGTCTACGCCGGTGTAATTTTGAATCAACGGCAGGCATTCTTGTCCAAGAAGTCCTTCAACGTTTTTTTAATTCTTATATAGCTGTTTGCAAGTGTAAGTTACATTTTCGGTGCAACTTGGCTTCATTATATAAAATGACAGATCTTTGGGTTCTCCGACAGGTTCTCCAAATAGATTCCAGAGCTTCATGTCATCCTCGTGGCTTGTGCAACTTTCTGCAGCTTCATCACCTGAACCCCAGTGGCAGGAGCTGAACTTGAGTTCTTGCTTCATGATCCCTGCCGCAGCGTGGAAGAAACTCGATATAGCTTCATGGCCGATTTTGCACAAGGCAAACTTCGAAGGGCGCCTTGGTGAACGATGCTTCAGTGGCGGGGCGTGGGAGGTAATGCTTTCATTCTTTGGGTGCGACCTGGCCGAAGAATATTTGCTGAACGTGTTGATAGCATTTGTTGATAGTTTTGCGGAACACATGCGCAGAACACGATGGCGGGTATTGTGATATGGGCGGATAGTATGCCAGATTGCAAACCGTTTTTTTCCACGTGGCTTTGCAAGTGCAGGATGTGTACCCGTGTGCAGTTGCGCAGACGAACCGTGGAAGGTGTATTCGAAGTGGGCTTGTCTTTCTTGGAAGATGTTTCCCAGTGGACTTCGCGTGTGTAGGCTCGCAACAGACACGTCTCAAGGTGGTCACTTTCTCTTTGCGCGTTCGTGGAGTTCATGCGTGTGTTCCTTCTCGTGGTAGAAGGGTGCTCGTGGTTGGTGGCGTTTTGGAAGGCCAAGGTGGCCTGATAGATATCGATAGCTAAGATGTGTTTTGGCGGGTGGGAGGGATCTTGATGATCCAGGTTTTCTTGAAGCGCACGCCGCGGGCGTGCGTGGGGTGTTTGGATGGTGTTGCCGACGCGTCTGGAAGCCGCGGGCATCAACATTATCCCGGACCTCCTGCGGCTACTCAGGATGGATGATGACCTTTTGTCATCGTTCATGGCGGTGGCTGGTGGTCGCAGAAATGATCTACGACTTCTTGCGGCTATGCCTTCATGGAGGGTTCCCCAAATCGTGGCCAGTGGCATTGTGTCCTCCGGGACAACCTCACTCGCGGAATGCCCGTTGGGTAGTTCACTTTGAACGTGCCATAGGCATCCTGAAGTCGCAACCCCGCCTTACAGAAAGCGGAGGAGCTGAGATCATCCAAACTTTGACTATGGCCAAAGAAGCTTGCCACAAGGCGTTCCCTCTGTCGTCTAAAAGATTGAAGCAGCCCCGAAAGTGATCAATTGGGCCTCGGCTGATTGGTACCTGAGCGAGCTGAAGCTGATGCACTGATGCATGTCGAAGAGGGCTGGGAAGTGTCGCAAGAGAGGCAAAAGATTGTTTGCAGATTGCTAACGGTCCTTGAAGAGAAGCAGAGGGCCTGTCAAACGAGCTCCCGAGTTCAGGCTGGAAGACATGACCAGGGGCTTGGAGCAAACAAGTGCTGAAGCCCAAGATGGTCACGAGACCCGCGCTTGCGTACGCGTTAGTGTGGATGCTCCGGGAGACCGAGGTGAACATAGTCAAATGCAAGGACATCACGCCAAATTGGGTCTTGAAAAGAGTGACATTGCTGATCCCTATATCCATGTGTGATCAATGAGGCATTGGAGCAAGGATTCTACGATGTTGCGGACTGAAACCGCGCCCAAGGTGTCCGTCCCTGTCCATGGTCGCTATGGGTTGAGCTATGGAAGCTGCAGGATCATGGAAACGCTGACTCGCGCGACTGGGTGTTTGGAGATTGCCTCGGAAACAAGTTCCCGAAAGTGAAGATGGTGGATGGGTGGAAACCAACGACCAATGACAATTAGCAAGGACATGCAGGGGCATTCCGCAAGAAGAATGCCCATTCAGGTGCTGGCCTTCCTGGGAGGGCGGAAATCCACTGTTGTCTTGACATATGCTGAGGGGCTCCAGACGGAACCTGCCCACGGAAATCTTAAGATGAAGGCGGAACAAAAGAACAAGAAGATGTGTCGTGAACCTCCAGCAGGCGAGCCAAAGGAAACGCCTACCAATATAACAAGGGGGAAAGACAGTGCTACAGCAACAGCCTACAATTCAAAAGAACGCATTTGGCATTTGGCTGATGGAGCTTCCTGAGATGTGCCGATTGAAAGCTGGCTCAGCCTCTGTGGATGGCCATTCAGCAGAAAACATCCTCAAAAGCGCCACTCGCTCTATGCCAAAGGAAATGCGTCTAAAGAAAGCCGAAATCCGCGACGCAGCCAAGGAGGATGTCAATACAGCGGCTGATACAATACAACTTGAACGAGTTGAGTGGCGGATGTACAGAAGAACATGAATGGAGGTGCCAATCAACAAGTTGAACTGGAGGTTGGGCTGGGTAAGAAATGTCAGCTCAGCGCAGACTTGTCTTGAAAGGCCAAAGTGGCCTGATAGACCTTGCGGTGTGTTTGGAGGGGTCTTGATGTTGTTCCCTCTCCTCTGGTCGTGAACCAGGCGTGGAAGGCGTCAGGTTTTATTGAACCCACCCACCCACGCCAAAGAAAATGTGGGATCGTGAGGACGCCAACGCAATTTGAACAAGTTCAGCTGCGGATGTACAGAAGAAAACGAACAGAGCTTGATGACTACTAACCAAAAATTTGAACTGGAGGGTGGGCTGGGTGCTTCTGCCGCACAGGGACCATGGGGCTCTTGCGAAATCTCAGCACTGAGGAAATTGTCGCGCAGTTGTTCAAGGTCGTAAGAAATGTCAGCTTAGCGCAGGCTCGTCTTGTAGAATTGGCTGGATTGAAAGGCAATCGTGTCAGCGTAGACCCCAGGTAGCCAAAATACTTTTAAGTGGGCAACACACTGCAGCGGCGCTCTGCAGCGCCCTCCAGCAGCGCCAGCGCCGAGGCTCCAAAGCGCGCACCACTGGCAGCGAGGGCCAAAAGCTCCAAAGCGCGCAAAGCCACACGTCTGGCGCCAAGCTCTAAGGCGCGCGCGGCCCCTGCAGTGATATCAGCGTCCCCGCCCAAACTCCTGACAGTTGCCTAATGTCTGGAACCCAAACAGGGTGGTGTTCATTTTCCGATTTTGCACGCCCACCTTCAACTTGTTCTTGGGCCGAAAATGGACGATTCTTTTGCGTATTATGGGTAAAGGTTGTTTTGTTCGCGCTTAGGCGTTCTTGTCCCACGTTCTTGTCCCCTCTAGGCATTCTTGTCTTGTTGGTGAAGCTTCCCCCCCTCATTACGGTCAGTGGTCGGGTGGACAAATGAATGCTAGATTTTTCCCAGATAGCGAAGCTATAGGGTTCTTACTTCAAAAAACAAGGAGTTGCCCGTGCGCGCTTTCGAGACAGGTTGCTGTTGCCGGTGCTGGGTGCCGGTGCTGGTGGTGATGCTGCTGCTGTGGGCTGGCTGTGGTGCTGGTGCTGGTGCTTGAGCTGGTGCTGGGTACCGGTGCTGGGTGCTGGCGCTGGGTGCCGTGAGCTGGCGTGCCGGTGCTCGGTGCTGGCGCCCGCTCCTGACAGTGAAGTGATAACAACCGCCGCTTCTGACAGTGAAGGGTGGCAAACTGCCGCTTGTAGCAGTGAAGGGCGACCAACCGCTGCTTTTGACAGTGAAGTGCCAGCAGTCATGGGGCCGCATGAACTTATGCGCGCAACATCATACGGTGTTGTCGCTTGAGTGTTCTTTGTCTACTAATCAGCGCTGTGGGGTATTTGCGCTCTTCGGGTTCTGTTGTGGCCGACAGCTGTGTCAAGGGCTGTACTGTTTGCGCGCATACTTTTGCACGTACATTTTTCTATGCGCAAACCATTGTTTCAGCATGTTGCAGCACGCTGCACACACAATAGTGGTGCTGGATACTGCTTGGCCTTGGGCAAGTGAAGCCTACGGGCTTTGCCGTTTGTGCGCGTACTTTTGCGCGCGTAAAATCGGCTTATATGCGCAAGATCATACGGCCTTATCGTTCTACAGGCCGTTGCTTCAAGCATCCTACAAAGGCAACAGTGGCGCTGGATACTGCTTGGCCTTGGGCCAATGACACTTACGGGCTTTGCTGTTTGCGCGCATACTTTTGTGCGCGTAAGCTTATACGCGCAAGATCGCGCTAGGGATAGCTATGGGGTTCTTACTGCAAATAAGAATGAGCTGGCTGCGTGCGCTTTTGAAGGGGTGTCGGTGCTGGTGCGGGTGTTGTGGTCCTGGGTGCTGGTGGCTGAGCGCGCGTTTAAGACGGGCGGCGGCGCTGGCCGCCGGTGTTGTCAGCTGGCAAAGCGCACGCGCTGTGGAGGCGCCGTAAGCTGGCTGTGCAGGCTGCGTACATTGTTGTTCCAGCCAGTCGCGTGTCAACAAGTCGTGGGATTCTGCCTAGCTATCTGGGTCTATGCTGGTGTAATTTAGGCGAGTGAGTGACGTGGGCGCCAAATATTTATATGATTTAGACAAGGGGCTAGCGATTAGTGTCAGGTGGCAGGTGGTAAGACTTTTTTCAAATTCTGGTTCTGCCATGTGCTTGTATGAAGGTTTATGATTGTGCCTGACCCTCGAGGCTGCAGCTTTGGCGTTCGTTGTGTGAACGGGCGGAAGTTTCTGCTTAAATGAAGTTGTGGGAATTATTGCCTAATGAAGGGGGTAGATATAGGCCACTACGGTGCCGTCTATTTACCCTCGCGCTGTGCCCTATTTCTTTCCTTACATGCCTGGGGAATAACGCGGGGCATGCTTCCCTACAGCTCCTTCCTGATCTCCTTGCTGACATAGGTGCTTCAATTTGGACAGCGTTGGTGCAGAGGGTGCAGCCACATTGTTGCGCGTGCTGACCAAGTGTGCTGAACTGGTGGACACTTCAGCATCATTCAGCAGATTTCTTCTGACGTAATGAGTTTTTGTATGACTAGAGTATAGTGCTTTTGTCGTCGGCTTAGATACACTTGTACTTTGCACACATCCTCCGAACTGGTTTGAAAGCATAATATCGTCCCCATGAGGCGTTCAACTTGGCGTCACCTTGAACCAAACTGGCAGGAACTGAACTTGTCGCGTTGCGACGCGATCCCTGCACTAGCCTGGGAGGGTCTGCAAGTGGAGAGGCTGTGGCCGAAGTTGAAGAGGGCCAACTTGGATGGGTGTCTTGGTGAAGGAAGGGTGCGTAGGCTTAGGCTCAGCGTTCAGCAGTCAAATCTCGACATTCCTCTTTGGGAGGTTGACTGCCTGTTGTGCGTTTGGTTGATGGGGGAATGGAGGGATTATTGACCTGTGTGGTGAGTGTGTGTATGTGTGGGAATGTAATGTAGTGTAATGTAATGTATGATGTAATGTCATGAAATGCAGCTGAATGCAATGCAATGGTATGTACGTATGTAATGTATGTAATGTAATGTAATGTAATGTAATGCAATGCAATGTAATGTAATGCAATGTAATGTAATGTTACGGTAGGGTATGGTATGACATTATGGTATGTGTCGTGTTTGCTTGCAGCATAGGTCCGTGCATGCGTTCGGGAAGGCTTTTCACCGCAGGTGGGCCCAGTTTGAGCCGCGAAAATGGGTTTAGGTGCGTTTCGGTCGCTTTGGATCGGCATGTGGATGTAAGATTGGTGACGCGGAGCCTACAGTATCAGGGCTGTTGGGTTGTGAGCACCTTTTCCAGATTGCGCTTTGATGGGGTCAAGTGAGAAGTCTTGGAATCAGACCCCACTATGGACTGGGCAACCGGAAGCCTTCTCACACTTCATCCATGAAGTTAAGTGGACATTGTCACAGCATTGTTGGCGGCGCGCATTGTGAGGAAAGCGTTGCAGTCGGGACAACCTACATTGACACAGTTGATGTACAAGCTGGATCCCAGTGAGTTCAAGATGGAGGACGACGTAGAGAAGTTGATCGGTTTCCTTGAGTCATCACCCCTCAACAGACAAGCGTTGCCAAACACTGGACAGAAGATTGGTTACTACTATAGGAGATTGGCGAAACGCCCTGGCGAGAGTGTACCTGCCTTCCTAGTCCGGGAGGACAAGGTTCACGATGAGATGTTGAAGGCATTGCAACGACGTCTTCGTGAGAAAGAGCTTGACTTTGATGGTTGCAACATGACCTTGGCCGAGCTCAAGAGGTTCGTTGGCATGGAGCCGGAGGCTTCACTTTTCTATGGTGAGCATGAGGCAAGCGAGCTTGGAGGCGCAGATGATGAGGAAGCTGAAGAGGAAGGTAAAGTTCCAAGACGGCTACACCTTCCAGAAATGGCGTTCCGTTTTCCAAGAGATCACAGAGTGCCGGACCCTCAGATTCGGCGGCATCGCAAAGATGTCCTGGAGCTGTTGATGCAGAAGGGATTGTTTCCCCTAGCGGCCTTGGATGTGGTTCGTGGATGGATGCTGTTGGAAATGGCCACAAGTGGAGAAGAAGAGAGACACTTGATTCGTGCAGCGACCCGCAACACATTGGGTTACTTTGACATGAAGTCGGCACTCCTATCCATGCATGAGGAACGGCGTCAGCGAACACAGTTCCAAGGTCACCGAGGAGGAGGAAAGACTGGAGTTTTTGCAGCAGAACTTGAACCTGGTTGGGAGGACTTTGAGATCCAGCCGCATCGTCTTCGTATGGCGAGACCAACCTCTACGGCGCGGTGGACAATGCAGAATGGAGTGATGGATGGGCAGCCTGGCGTGACACGGCCTGGCGCAATGAGAGTTGGCAGGAATGGCCTGAATCGCCATGCAGTGCACATGATGGTGGCAAATCGCCTGAACACCAAGAGATGGTCCATCATCTTCATCAAGAACAAGAAGAGGCTGAGAGAAAGTTCTATGAGCATCAGCGCGCCTTGCTCGGGTACCGCCGAGGCAATTTTCCTCCTCCTGGGATGCTCAATGCAGCAACCATTCCGGCTCCAGCTCATCTTGTACCCGACCTCTATGAGGCCCCGCACCGGCACTATTGGCTCTACCTGTTGAGCAGAAAGAAGGGCGCCGGTCATCTTGTCCTGGCAAAGCTGAACCGTCCCATGTGCGAGTTCCACTGTCACCACCCCCGCTCTCTCCAGCTCCTTCTGCGACCCTGTCCTCAGGGGATGTGTTGCTCCACCATCCTTTTTACACTTTCAATGCCGCTGCCTCGCCCACCAATGCCCCCATGACGTGTGATGGACCATTCCCAGCACCATTCGGCTCTCCCAAAGGCTTTTTTGCCCTTTACCCTCCTGGGTCTCCTTGAGCATCGTGCCATTGTTGCTCCCCTCTTTGGAGCCTGACTGCTTCCCCTCTGCCCCACCTTTGTAGGACTTTCGGAACTGCCCTCCTTTTTCACACGCGGGCACTCCCTCCTGGTGTGGTTCAGGCCCCTTCGGGTTGAGGGTGGTGTGTTTGAACTTGCAACGATCACCGCGACGACGTCCACGATCCGACAACCAAAACTTGCAGTCGCCCTTTTCGCCATCTTGGTTCATTAAAACAAGGAGGGGGTGTACATCTGCAGGGTTTAGATCCTGACCCTTTGCAAAAAATAGTTGTCTCAAATCAGGCTTCATTTGTCTCAAACAGTCTCTTTCGAGACATTTATGTATGTTTCCGAGATTTATGGAGATGAAAACTAAGTATCTAAACAATGGGACAGGGTTCAAGGATTGTACACAGTTTAAACAGCATACACAAAAACAGTAAAGCCAAGCACAATAAACTGTACACAGAATCAACACTTTTCTTCGCACAATCCGTTTGCAAGGTCTTTGTTTGTGACATGTGAAAAGATCTAAGTTTGATAGTTGTGACATTCATTGTAATCTTTGTTCTTTGTGTGTGTGTCCTGACGTTTCCTGAATGGTGCTTTGCACTATATAATAAGCAATGATTGATATCACGAAGACCCACTCTCAGAACTTCGACCTCAGAGACACAAAACCCACATGAATGAATGCAAACGACGGCAAAAAGAGTGAACAGCTCAGTGCATACTCTCACTGAAACATACTCATTGCAAAAAATGAATCATCACTCCGCACCGATTGCTTTTTCACACACAACACCTCTTGTTCTCCATCACCCAGTGAGTAGGACCCTCTGGGCCCTCCCCAATCAAGCGAGCCACCCGTCTCTTGAAGAAGGGCCCCTTGGATGGAAAGACACCGTGAGGATCACAGACTCTCATGTACCACGTCGGTGGGTCTCGAGAGCCCGGAGTCGGATCCAACTTGATCTGTCCACAGATCTTGCTACAATCCGGACACTGAACGTCTTCCCAAACATTCACATAGCCACGTCCTGGTCCACGTGGACCCCTGAGTCCATGAGCTTCAGCCACTGGGGGGGCTTCAAGACCAAGAGCTTCCGGAGCAACCAGTTCTTCAGCTTCAAGAGGAGCAACGGGTGGCACTGCAACAGCTTCAAAGTGTGGCGCTTCAAGAGCCTGCACCACTTCAGGAGCATCCTCTGATGGAATGTGTTCCGCTGGCATTGGTGCCTCTGGAGCTTCTGATGCAATCGCTGGCATTGGTGCCTCTAGAGCTTCTGATGGGATGTGTTCCTCAAGTGGTCTTTCAACTGAAGGAGGATGAGGAGGTTCAAGTGCTGCCCCAGGAGGTTCAAGTGCTGCCACAGGTTCACGATCTCTTTTCCTTTTGCGGCCAACGCCAACAAGAAAACGTCCAGCCTTTGCCTTAGGTTTCACGACTTTGGCCTTGGCTTTCCTCTTTGCTTTGGCCTTGGGCTGTTTCTCCTTCTGTTCCAGGATTGTCCAGTGAGCTTTCTGTTTGGCTTCAGCTTCAATGGCAACTTCCTTGAAATCCCGTTGTTCATCAAGTGGCATCTCAGATAAAATGTATTCGTCTAAAGTATCCCCAATTGTTCTCACTTTCTCCTTCGAAGCCTTGATCTTCGAGATCCATTCCTGATCACCCTGTCCGACATTGTCCAACAAAGTGTGAAACAAATCATCACGCTTGAGCTTCTTCAACTCATCCACGTTATTTAACTGCAATACTTCCGCCAATGACAGCATGTTTGCCACAGTCAAGGAGTTCCGATTCGAGGGCACTTCCATGAAGCGCATCAAGAGTGGAAGAGTTGCCTTGGACACCATGTATATGCGTTCTCCGTGCAACACGGTTTCATGAGTCATTACAAACCACTGTTGAGGTCGAAGAATATGCACCCACTCAGCTTGAGCATCAGGATCAAGGTAGTAGCCATCAAAGGGGCCATCACGATGCAAACAAACCGGCCAGAACAAAGCGCCCCAAGTAGCTGACCCAAGGCAAAAACCCAAGTACTCAATGTTGTTACTGTCACTGCCATCAGTTTTGAACATCAACTCCATCTCAACCGCATACTTGCTCATGCTGCCATGAATGAGACGGACCCCGGATTGTCCCATTTGCTCTCGAACATAGGCCCTCAGAAAGTTCCAGGCAGCAATGCCCCTTTGTATTGTCTCTTCACTGATGGTTGCCCACTTCTTTCTAGACATGATCTCACTCCATGGTTCAGAGAGTCTGTGATATCGAGCAAAATATCGCCTGAAAGGGAATGTGGCTTGCAGAAAAACAAGCCCTTAATTCATTGAGGTGCTGAGATTGCTTTCACAAGTTGAGAACACAAATGTTAAGAACAAACAGCAAACAATCCTCAAATTGATAATGGTAAGAGCAAAATTGACAAGCAAAGCATTGATATGAACAGGACTGAAACAAGCAAACATGCAAACAAACATTCAATCAACAGTAGGCCTCTTGCGCTTTCTGTCCTTTGCTCTCGGAAAGGATCGAAGGAACACATCCCGGGTCACCTCTGCCTTGTGTGATATTCCTCTTGATGCAAGCACTTTGGAGTTCACAACCAGCTCCTGAAGAGTGCCAAGCGTTTGCCTTTGGTTGACTCCCTTTTTGACACTCTTCCTGAGTACACCATGGACGTCTTCCACGATCTTCGAATCCGGAAAAGTCTCTAGCAACCCGCGAAGCAGATGCCTGCCACCACAAGAATGGGCATCATATCCATCCTCCTCAAAACTCATGAGCATGACTCGAACTGCTGGTGGGCAAACAACCGCCAAATCATCCAAGATTTGTGGTGCCGATTTCTGATCCGCCGCAACCTGCTCCAAGTGGAGCAATGCTTGATGATCTGAAG